CTGTACCTCATTAGTCCCATTTGGTTTTATGGGGCTGTCCACTCCCAGGCTGAACGGTGAACTTCGGAGATAACTTCACCACTGAGCTAAAAGGGTGTCTGGGAGCCATACTCTCGGGGTATAATAAATATTTTTTGAGAGACATTCACTGCAACTCCCTTGTCTCTTTATTTGGATCTTCTTTACAAGGATGTAAAGGATGCGTGAGCTACAAGATGATTTTATGCGGAAAACAAGCAATTTATCCCATTTCTGTTTTATTTCTATGTATGTACAGAAATAAGGGAAGATGTCAGTAGGAGTCCATAAAATTGCAATGTGAGGCAGATTGATATAAAGAGCATAGTTTGAACCCAGGCTCTGCTATTTAATAGATGTGTGACCTTATGCTAATTTCTTAATCTCTCTAATTTTTAAAACTTAGATAATGACAACCCACCTTGAAGGTTGTTGTAAAGAAATAGTATAGGTGCCTCTTTCATAGTCTTTGGTTAGTAAGTGTTAGTTTCTCCTTCAGTTTTCCTCGTACTTATTTACAGTCAATTTATTTGTAAGTACATTCCCTCATTTTCCAGTCTTTGAAGAATTTATACGTTATCACCACCTACGTTTTCTTAAAAGTTTAAAAATGAAATTGAACAAACCATCTTGGAAACAGAGTAATTACTGAAAGGATTTTAGCTGAGTTATGTATTTTCTCTTTGCCTAAAAAGATATTTAATATTGGGAATTTTTTTAGAATTATGTTGTGTATCCTTTCTTGTAGTGTGTTTGTTGTTAGGTCCCACTGAGTCAGTTCCGACTCATAGCGACCCTGTGTATAACAGAACGAAACATTACCTGGTCCTCCGCCATCCTCATAATCGTTGCTATGATTGAGACCATTGTTGCAGCCACTGTGTCAGTCCATCCCTTGAGGGTCTTCTTTTTTGCTAACCTTCTGCTTTACCAAGCATGGTATCCTTCTCCAGGGACTGGTCCCTCCTGATAACATGTCGAAAGTACATGAGATGAAGTCTTAACCCTCCTCACTTCTAAGGAGCATCTGACTGTACTTTTTCCAGGACAGATTCGTTTATTTTTCCGGCAGTCCATGGTATATTCAATATTCTTTGCCAACACCATAATTCAAATGCATTAATTCTTCTTCTTCGGTTTTTCTTATTCATTTCCCAGCTTTCCCATGCATATGAGGCGATTGAAAACACCATGGCTTGGGTCAGGCGCACCTTAGTCTTCAGAGCGACGTCTTAACTTTTTAACACTTTAAAGAGGTCTTTTGCAACAGATTTGCCCAATGCAGTAAATTGATTTCTTGACTTCTGCTTCCATGGGCATTGATTGTGGATCCAAGTAAAATGCAATCCTGGACAACTTCAGTCTTTCTCCGTTTATCATGATGTTGCTTATTGGTCCAGTTGTGAGGAACTTTGTTTTCTTTTTATGTTGAGGTGTAATCTCTACTGAAGGCTATAGTCTTTGATCTTCCTCAGTAAGTGCTTCAAGTCCTCTTTGCTTTCAGCAAGCAAGGTTGTGTCATCTGCATATTACAGGTTATTAATGAGTCTTCCTCCAGTCCTGGTGCCTGGTAGTGTAATTATGTGCATTTCAAACATCCATAGTTGATCTCTATGTACAGATGTCCACAGTTTATACAATATTGTACACATTGTGATAAAATGCTATGATATGAAATAATGGAATAACTTTTGCAAGAAAATAAAAAGGAGTAGAAAAGAAAAGAAAAAACATCTGAATACATTCCTATACTTTTCCTGATTGTCTTTTAATAAAGGAGTCTTTTAAGGTTTTAGATCATCAACTATTATAGTTTTAATTAGATAACGATTTTAGGCAATGACCACTATCTTTTTTAAAGCAGATCTAAAATTTAATTTCTATCTGTATTATTAATAAGATAACAAAAGTAAAGAAAAATGGTTTTTTTTCTGGTGTGTATTCAACAAATATTTATTACAGTGTCTACCCTATGCCAAGGTTTGGGGCTAGATACTAGTGTTACACTGGCGGGTAAATCAGACAGACATAGACTCTGCCTTCAAGAAGCTTCCAGTTCAGTGAGTGGATGATGCCATGAAGGAAAGCACAAAGGAAAGCTGACCCATCTGAGTAGGTCATGATGTTCTTTAAGTTAAATGAAAATTATTGCAACATTGGTGTTAATTATGTCTAAGTTGAAATGTTATGCTGAGATGAAATGTATATGTAATATGATAATAATAGTAGACATATTTGTATAGAAGCTGTTTAAAATATAATTCTGTCTCAAACAAAATAAAAGAAGTTTTAGTAATCAAGTTATTATATTAAAAAGAAAGGAAGTTCAATATAATTTCTATCTCCCTTAACTGCTAGGTGTGCCTAATTATTTTGTTTATGTTTTATATCAGCTCATAAAGTGATTATTTGTTTCACAGCCTTTATAGGTCTCAAAAATCAATTTGCTCACCTAGTGTTGTTGTTACTTCTGTAGGAATTTCAATGAACATTATCACTCCTTGTGTAAAGCAGTTTATCACCTAGCAACTCTTGACTGCATTTTCTCACTGGCCAATGTCGCTAAGCAAGGGAACTACTGCAGGTAATTTTTTTTTTTATTTCCCTCATTTTTCAGTCATTTAGATCAGATGGCATTATTCCATTAATTTTAATTTTTTCATTGTAGACATTAAAATTAGGCAAATGTGTTGGACTCTTGGTAAAGCTCAATGTTATATCAGTATAGCTTAATTTAAAAATAAATGAATTCTTGCATGCTTTATCACTTAGTACAATGAAAGAAGATGTTTACTACAACGCTGGAGGTGAATATTATATTTCAATTTCAATTATTTCAATTTTAAATTTATGTGGTGACGTTTTTATAAAGTTTAATCAATCCTTTCATTTGTTAGATTTCATTTGAACACATTTAACATGTTTAACTTAATAATTATAAAAGCTTGATGAGGCAAGAAAGGACTGGGAGGAGGGAGGCATATTCTGTGATCTCTTCTGTTCCTCTTTCTGGGAGCCCAGATACATCCTACTGTTCTTTATTGGCCCGTGAACATGTTCGTTCTCCTTTTCCTAAAGGATGGAAATACCAAACAGACCTAACTTTAAACCTTAGCTCTAACTTTTGGACCAGTTGTTTGTCTTCCCAAAACCTCAGTTTTATCATAAAAAAAAGTAAGAGAATATTTAGCTCACCGGCTTATTATGAAGACTAAAATGACAATATGCAAGTGAAACTGCATATCAGTGCCTGTGGCACACAGAGTCCATTAGTACGTATGTTTTGTTCATATTTCCTTCATATCATGGTTTCCTCTCTAGTTTGTGCTAAATATCGTTTTCATACTTAAATGTGCTCTGTACCTAGTAGATGTTGTTGTCGTGTGCCATCAAGTTGAATCTGACTAATAGAGACCCTACAGGACAGAGTACAACTGCCCCATAGGGTTTCCTAGGCTGTAATCCTTTCAGGAGAAGATTGCCAGGCCTTTTCTTCTGTGGAGCCACTGGAGAGTTTGAACCACTGACCTTTCAGTTAGCAGCCAAGCCCTTTAACCACTGCTCCACCAGGCTCCTTACCCAGTAGATAGTGGATGCTAATAAAAACATTTGTTTAATGTTAAGCATTTATTTATTTGTGGGAGGAGAGTTGAAGGAATTGGCTGTGCCAGTAATGGGCCCTAAACATACTCAGTTCACTGTTTTGTTTCATTTTGCTTTGTTGTCCATTTATGTGTTGAGTGTACCTACAGTGTCAGACGTAACAGTTTTGTTTAAAATAGGCTCTTCCCATTTTCATTTATTGCTCAGTTTCTTTTCACACCAGAGGGATTTGAATATAGACAGATTTGCCTAATTAGTTAATTAACTGTAAGCATTTTAGAGGTAAAACTTTACAGTGCAGTAAGTGGAAAAAAAGTTATATCCTCTTTATCATCTATAAAAAATGAGGTATATAAATTTACTCTAGTTGTGTCAAGTTCTGGAAGACTAAGAAGCTACCTTCAATTGAGTTGATTTCTCCCTTATGTATGTGCAGTCTTACTAGGAGTTCTTTCTGGGTATGCAAGATTTGTGAAAGAAGCTTTTCCTAATGAGTCCTGTTTTGGAATTAAGCAGAGAATTGGCTACAGCCAGTACGTTTAGTATGTGTTCAGATACAGCTCTTCCCGTTGAAAAATACTTATGCCTCATTTTCCCCTCTTACACTTCTTTGACTCAATGCCACACAACAACAGTGTACTTCTTAAGATGGCCTTCTCTCATTTGCTACTGCTGCTGTTAAGTGAAAAAAAGACACGTATATGGGTATGTGGTTTGCTCCATTACACCAAATTGAAATTTTCGTATCTATATGTGTATTATATACATATATTAACATAATGCATAATTTAATATATAATTTTCAGTTTGGTGTAATGATCAGATTCTGGCTTTGATGTCAGAAGGCCTGGTTCTAGCCCGTGCTTTGCCACTAACTAGCTTTGTACCCTTATTTAAGTTTCAGATAGTCATATGTAAAATTGTGAGAATTAAAGTCATGAATTGATAAATGGGATAAATTTTCAAGTGGTAGGAACTCTTTTACTGAGATGTAGTTTTGGCAGAAACTCTATCTGAAGAGAAAAAAATACATATCTCTCATTTGTTGTTGTTAGCTGCCATTGAGTCTACTGTGACAAATAGTGACCCAATGTATAACAGAACGAAATGTTGCCCGGCCTTGCGCCATCTTCATGATCATGGGTATGTTTAAGTCCATTGTTGTGCCTATTGTGTCAGTTCATCTCATTGAGTTTCCCTCATTTTCGTTGGCCCTCTACTAAGCATGAAATCCTTTTTTAGTGATTGATCTTTCCTGAGGTCGTGTCTAACATAAGTGAGTCAAAGTCTTACCATCCTCACTTCTAGGGAACATTCTGGTTGTTTTTCTTCTAAGACTGATTTGTTCTTTTTTTTTTGTTTTTGGTAGTCCACCGTACGTTCAATATTTTTCACCAACACTACAGTCTCGCATTACATGTATCTCTCATAACATCATTGTAAAACTGTATGATTAATTCCTAGATTCATCAGAGACTTAACAAACATTTTTAGAGCATCTGATATATGCAAATTTGGTCCTAGGTTTTTCAGTTTGGGACTTCTTCTTGTTCTTTTGACATTTTACAGTGTGTATGTACTATTCACAGATGCTTAACTTTTTAAAAATCAGAAGGAATTAAGCTTTATAAAATTTGTCTTTAATAAAAATACTTGAACTTAAGAGTTGTTAGTACTCATCATACCCATATTAATTTATTTTATTCTTTTTTAAAAAATAATTTTTAGTTCTCTGTCAATTCTCAATCATATCTCTTGTCTCTTTGAATGTGGTACTGATTGTTATTTTAAAGTCTGTGTCTGACAATTCAAATATATGGAGTCCCTGTGAGTCTGTTTCTGTTGTCTATTGTTTCTGCTGATTTTCCTTCATATAGTACTATCTCCTTGAATGCCTGGTTATTTTTGATTATCTTCTGGGCATTATACTTGCAAAATCACTTGAAGAAATAATTTGATGTTAAGTTCCTTCTGAAATAGTTACATTTGCCTCTGCCAGGCATCTCAGGACACTAACAATCTGGCATTACTTTAATCTAATTTCAGAGGTTGAAATGATTCAAAGGTGAGCTACGGTTCTTACTTCCAGTGCACTCTCATGCCTGGTGTGCAGCCCTTTGGTGTCTCAATCCAGAACAAAGCTGTCAGAAGTATTCAGCCTTAGCTTTTGCCTCAGAAATCAGCAAATACCTCTAGGGTAAAATTGGTCCCTCCCTATTTGAGATCCTGGCCTGGTAATTCTTTGCTGTTTTGTTAGTTAACAGATGCCTTCAAGCAGCTGTTTTCTATCAAGCAGCTGTTTTCTATCCTTTGTCTAACTTTTCTGTTTGTCCTTACTAGAACAGGATTTGATTCTGAGACACTAAGACATATTTGATTCTCTGAAAAACGGCAGTTGTAATAGTAACAGCTATATTGACCACTTGTGTTTATATCTATCAGTAAAACAATTTTAGGAATTATTTCACATGCTAAAAAAAGCTTGCTAAATTGGATGCCATATATTTTATAATAGGAAAAATTCATCTGAAAACAATTTAAGTGAAAAATCATGCCATAGCCTTTTAGTAATGTAATCAATATTTTTTGTTTTTTTATTTTGGCAAAAATTAAATCAAGTATAAATAGGCATGAAATAGGAAATGTCTATCTAAAATATACTTTAAGCCAGTATTTAAATATCTGAAATTTACAAATTTTTCTTTGATTTCTAGCTCATTTAAAGACTTTAGTGCATTTGAGCTCATGGAGTTAGTTCACATTGATTATTTGGCTTCATAATTGCAATTTTTCTTTCTAAATGCTATTAAGGCTATTTTATTCACTGTAGTCTAAACTTTTAGGCATAAGTTCTATTCTGCATATTTCTATCCAGTTTGTATTCTAGATATTATACTATTTTACTGATGTAGATTATGTTCTGATTCTCTGGATATGTTAAAGAAGAAAGATGCAGTTTAAAAAATATAATGTAATATAAAGTAAAATAAATAAATTTGGTCATGTTCAAATGTTTCATTCTTTCCAGGCAGCATCCAGATTTTCTCACTTCTGTCTCCTTCATTTCCATAAGATATCATCGACATGATCTTTTTTGTTATAAGTATCCTAATCCCAGTATCTCATCCCAGCTCTGTGAATTATCATTTACTTCTTACTCTATCAGGAAGTGTTTTGTCATTGTGTAATTTTGAGAGCAACAGAATAAGTCAGTGTAGATTTTAGAGCAGAACAAATCACTCAAAATTTTATTCTAAAGTGAAAATCTTCGTGGGAAGTCATATCAGTGTCACAAATATGATAGATTGATTTCACTTGGCAGCGCACCTTGAATTTTATTTTAAATTTGATATCAGTTACAGATGCTTCCTTTTTTTTTCTTTCACAGTACATTCATAACCCACTTCGATAAAAATCTTGTCTTTAGAATTAATACTCTAAAATTCAAAAACTGTCCTTTTTTGGTAATTTTAAATATCTGTGTCTAAAGGATGATTTCACATTGTTTACTCAGAAGATACTTCAGTCACTTTCTTTGAAAAATGAGAGTGTACATTCTTGGGGTTTTGTTAGAAGATATATTCAAGAAGAGTGATTTAAGTATTTAGGAAGTAGGGTTTTTTGGTATTCTGATTTTAGAAAAATGTTTATATGTAAAAGTTCTGGGTCAAAGAATTTAAGAAGGTTGCTAATAGGATAGATGCTATGAAAAAAAGACCAACAAGTGACCAAACAACTGATGAAAAGCTATTTAACCTTAGTAATCTAAATCAAAACCAAACTCGTTCCCGTCGAGTCGATTCTGACTCATAGTGACCCTATAGGATGGAGTAGAACTGCCCCATAGGGTTTTCCAAGGAGTGGCTGGTGGATTTGAACTGTGGACCATTTAATTAGCAGCTGAGCTCTTAACCACTGTGCCACCAGGGCTCCCTAGTAATCAGTAAGTGTAAATTAGAACAATGAGATAACACAGTTGACCTACCAGATTGTCAGAAATTAGAAAGTTTGATAACAACTGTTTATGTTGTTGTTATTTGCTGTTGAGTCTGCTCCAACTCATGATAACCGTATGTATAACAGAATGAAACATTGCCCAGCCCTGCTCTATCTTTATAATCTTTGGCATGTTTGAGTCCATTATTGCGGCTATTATGTTGGTCCATTTCATTGAGGATTTTCCTTATTTTCGCTGACCCTCTGCTTTACCAAACATAATGTCCTTTTCTAGCATTTGGTCTTTCTTGATGACATGTCCAAAGTAAGCAAGCCTAAGTCTTGTTATCCTCATTTCTAAGGAGCATTCTGGTTGTATTTCTTAAAAGACTGATTTGTTTGTTCTTGTGGTAATCCACAGTATATTCCTTATTCTCCACCAACACCAAAGTTAGAAAAAATCAGTTCTTCTTCCTTTTTGATTTTCCAGCTTTCACATACATATGAGGTGATTGGAAAGAACATGGCTTGAGTCAGGCACTCCTTAGTCATTAAAATGACGTCTTTGCTTTTTAAAACTACACTAGAGTATGAAGAAACAAATCAACTTTCATATCCTGCTAGTGGGAATGCAAATTGGCCCAGCTACTCTTAATTATTAAAATAGAAAATGTGTATACTCTATGATCCTATGACTGAAAAATTTTACTCCAGGAATTTATTCTAGCTTAGAGAAGCACTTGGACTTGTGCACATGGAACATGTATAGAGTTGCTCATTACAGCATTGTTTATAACAGTGAAAATTTGGACACAGTCTAAATGTCTAACAATAGGAAGTAAATCAGCTCTACAGCAGCTTAAAAAGAATGATGAAGACCTGACAAGGAATGATCCTTAATCTTTAATATGCCATGCCATCACAGTCCATTGGACCTAACTTAAGTTTTTGAGTTTCTTAAGAGTGTTCCAAAGAACAAAGAGAAAATTTACTTTCTTAAAATAGAATAAAACTCATTCTGTCTTGCATTTACCATATGGGTCCATTGGACTCTTTTGTAAATCCTATATTTAAGGATCTTTAGTGATCTCATTTTTCCTACATCTTAAAATATTTTGCTGTTTCATCATCCTAGGATTTATCATTATTTATCAATTATTCCCAGTATGCTGTAAAAGTCTAAATTAGAAAGCTGAAGGGTGATTATGTAAAAGTGAGAGAAAAATCAGTTTTCTCTTACTGTATTACCCAAAGTATTGTATCATCATTCAAGAAGGTATAAAAGAAGACTGAAGATGCCACCTTTGTAGTCTGCTTCTAGCTTCTGTGAACACAGATGAGAATTCCAAATTTTTCATTCTCATCCATAATAGCAAAGAGGAAGAAAATGACAGAAGACATGTCACAATTATTATTCAGAAGATGTATGCAAAGAGAAAGATAGGTGAGCTCTAGACTCTAATGATGATGGTGGAATTTCTCATATAAACAAAATCTCAGATTATGAGTTTTCAGATGACAATATCCTAGATGAATTTTTTCAGACTCAAGAATCGATGCATGAACATTGTATTTCTAAGGATAAAATTAAGTATTCTCATCCATTTAGTCATCCCATTGGAAGCCCTCATCTTGCAATATTTTGCGATAAGAATCTGGACCATCCTGTTTTGCTAAAAGCGCATGTGACTGTATTCTTTCATCTTCTTTGTTATTTGTACTCTAAAATTTACTTGATACAGTTCACAGGTAGACAGATGCTAAAGGCAGGTGATTAAAGGTAGATGATGTAGAAATGAAAATATTCATTTGATTGATTATTCTAGTTGGTATTTATAAATCTAAAAGTGAAAATGTTTTGCCGTTAATATTTGAACAAGGAAGATGGTCATCCTCTTTGACAAAATTATTATCTTTAAAAGATTTCAAAAAACTTCCACTGTCACATTGTTTGTCAATGCAAGTACGAGAAGAATAACCAGAAGTAATAATAATCTAGAACCTGTTAGAGGTGTATTGAAATCTGGAATCAGTTATTTATAGAATGAATATGTTCCAGGTTCATGCGTGACAGCTGATAAGTAGTTAATTACATGAAGAATGTGTTGCCCATTCAGGTATATATGCCTTCAAAACCAGGAAAACATGGAATAAAAATTTGGGATTTGCTATGTTTAAATTCTTAGTAAAATTTGTCATGAAGTTGCTTTTTTACGACCCCTTATTCTCAGTTGGAAAATTATTTGTAAAATAACTGACACGTATTAAGAATAAATAAATAAAATTGTCTGTTGGGCCCAGATGGTAAATGGTAAAGTCTGTTTTTTATGTGTACTTAGGGTTGAGTAAGAAATCACAAAGAAAAAACAGGTAAATAATATGTTACAATATGATTCTGTTTGCTTTTTAAGAAAATCAGCAGCCAGTATGATGAATATGAATATGTAAATGCAGAGAAGTAGTTTGGGAAGGATAGAAACCAGACCAATCACAGTGGTCACCTATGGGGAGGAGACTGAGAGTAGAGCAGTGCTTAAGGGAACACTGATAAACAGATGAAACTAAGGTAAAAACAGAAAACTATAAAAGCTTTAAGAATGGAGAGAGAGTGAGACCAGCGAGGCAAAAAAATAATTTTTGTATCAAACAAGTGAAAAATTCCAAAGACCTTGGAGATGTTTCAATTAAACAGAATATGAAAATTTTAGGTCAAAGTCCAGCACATCATATAATTCATATTGATGTAATAATTAAGTCTAGAAATAATTTTACATGATTTCCTTTATTATGCTGATTATTGAAACTAATTTAAGTAGTATACTGTAATCCTTACTAATGAAAATATTGGTTTGAGCTTAGAAAGTAATAGAAAAATAAAAGTAAAAAGGATCTTGTAAAGGTAGACTTCTGTAGTGGAGGCATACTAAGACTCCTGAGTCACAGTAAGATCCTGCTAGAGTGTATGCTTCGTGTACTGTTATAATTGTTTTCCCAGTTCTTACTCTGTAGTTAAAATACAACTTTTATACTCAAAGCCTTATTCTTGACGTATGTGCTAAAAGTCTGTGTTTTGTTGTCTGTCTTGCAGTCTGGGTACTGAAATTTTTCATATCTTAGGGAAAAAAAATTAAGGCTATTTCCATGACTAGTAAATTGAAACATACTTCTTTTTTACAGACCAACTCTAGAAGAAGGAAGGAAAATTATAATAAAAAATGGCCGGCACCCTGTAATTGACGTGTTGTTGGGAGAACAGTATGTTCCCAATAGTACAAATTTGTCAGTAAGTACCATATTATGCCAGAAAATATAAGAAAAAGATAATAATATTGATCCTAAACATTTAAGTACCAAATAAATGCTTTTGTTATTTACCCTGGTTTTAACTTTGGCTTTCTAACAAACTAACCCAAGTTACACTTTCATATTTATGAAGCCTGTAATGGTGCTTTTTCTAATGAAAGATTACTCATAGATGGAAAGGTTTACAAATGAAAGCTTAGTCTTGATTAATTATCCTTGGTACCCCAGTGAAAGTATTTTACATTTGTAAATGCCCACATATGTTAATGGAGTTAGAATCATACCATGGTTTTGCCAGTTCCTATTATAGTGGTACATGCTTTGCCCTGTGTTCCACTATTGTCATATGTCTTGTGAAAGAATTAGGGGCACCTAAGCTGATTTCAGTGATGAGAATTTTTCTCATATGGACTAGAGCTCTTTTGTAGCACATTAATATAGGTTCAAATGTATAGGTTGAATTAATATGTATTCATCCAACCTGTACTTACTGAGTGCCTATTAAGCCCCAGGTAGCAAAGCGACAGATAGTGTTAAGCAAGACAGACATGTTTCTTGCCCTCAAAGAGCTTGTGGTCTTGCACAGAAGATAGATAGACAGTTACAATGCAGTTGGGTTAGTGCAATGATACAGGAAGTCAAGGTGTCATGAGAGCATGTGGCAGGTTGACCTAACCCAGTGTAGGGGGAGCATCAAGGACGGTTTCCCAGGAATGTGATATTGACTGAAAAATGAGTAGGCTCAAGCCTACAAGGGAGTGGAGGGAGTATTCCAGGTAGAGGAACCAGCATGGCAGAGGCTTGACATGAGATAGAGCAGGGTGAATTCAAGGAATGAAAAGATGTTGAGTAAGGTTGAAGCATAGAGTATAAAGAAAGAAGTATTCAGAGATAAGGAAGTGGCCAGTTCACTTATATGCCATATTAAGAAACTTAGATTTTATCCTACAGGATTGAGAATACTAGCAAGAGAGTGATTTAAGCTGGGGAAAACCTGGGTGTGTGTGTGGGGGGGGGGGTGCTATATAGATAGATTAAAATAATATGTGACTATGAGACCAAATAATTAATATGTAGGGAGTTAGTATGTATCAGAGAATGAGATGCCTGAGTTTAAGATTTCAGAGGGGTGGAGCTGTTCTAGGTGATCGCAAGATTGCGTGTATGGCCATGGTAGTAGGTAGAAGAAGTAGAGAAAGTCTTTGGAGATGAGGACACCAAGAAACAGAGTTTTGGAGAGAGTCATTGTGTGAATGTTGAAATCACCTAAGATAACACCAGGATTTGTAGTGGAAATGATGACAGTGATCCAGGTGTCAGAGATTCCAAAGAATAGGGACTGGTACATGGAGATTTGTAGATGGATGCAACCAGGGTGAATAGAGGTGCTATTTGAAACACCGTCTAAAGATCAGGTGAGAGACAACCTCTGAACCATGGGGTGCATGGGAGAGGGTGTGGCAAAGACCTCAGCCTCCAAAGGAGAGGGCTGCAGGGGAAGTAGCAGACAGCTAGGTTTTGGTGTGTGAAGGAAATGTCAAGCAAGGAGGTTAGAAGGATTGGAAGATTTTTCTGAGGACAGTGGAAAGGACTGAGATGTAGAGGAGAGGGTGGAGATTAGGTCAGAGAAAGGAAGCTCAGAATAACAAAGGAGTTGGGAAGATAACACAATTCCATGTTGGGCCAAGAGCAAGGATGACAGATGTCTGACATGGTGAATTTGGCTGGCCCCAATGGTGGTAAGTGAAAGTAAATAGTTTGGATTACCTCTAGTTTAGTGTTACATGTCAATATACAAAGTCTTGTTGGCATTATATAACCTGATACCCAATGTCTATAAACTTATAATTCTTATTAGGAAATATATAGCAAAATAAGTTAATAAGTACTAATACTTTTATTGTCTTTAAAAAGAAGACTATATGAACATAAGAATTTCTTTCTTCAGTTTCATACCAATGGGGTGTACCTTTTCTTTAGAAGGTACTACGATTGGAACATTTAGTGGCTTAGTTTATACTTTGCTTATACATCACTTAAACATCATTTCCTGTTACTGTTCCCATCCTCTAGCATGCCCACCAACTTGATACTAAATATGTTATTCTTGGCATTAATTTTTTGTTCTTTTTAAAAAATTTTTTCCTTCTTTCATTCTTTCTTTTATTAAATCTGTTATACTGTTTAGTAAAGCAAGCTTTGAGAAACTAATATAGCCTTCTGCTAATTACAGGAATGTTTTAAAGAAACATTGAACTCTTATATTTGAATTTTCACAAAACAAGTGGAGTGATTTATTACAGCCGGCACCTCAGAATATTCCAGAATATTCGTTTCTTTTACATATGCTTTTTCTAACTTGAGTAGGAGTTGATATAGAACTGTTGCTATGGTGAAGTGCATTCTATTTTGTAGGGTATAAATTTATATATAAAGATAGTGTTGAGACAAAGCTTACTATGTAAAACTCAATTTAAAATATTTTATGGGTGTTAATTATAAAATATACCCTGAAAATAATTTCCTCAAAGTCACTTGCATTATTGCTTTTGATAATCATGTAGTTGTAAGAAGTGGTCTTTTCACATGTAATTATGAGTATACTTTTCTGGATTCTGTATTATATGAACTTGTTATAGTGCCTTTGAGCAAGCCAACTTTCTGCCCTCTTTTCCTTTCCCAATTTTAAGAATATTCTCTTAAGCCCTCTTTTTTTGTTCCCTTCCCTGATTCACTACACAATCCAGAATATTTGCAGACTTGGCAATCACTGGGTCTTCCCACCTCCATCTTGCCCATCTCTAATTCCTTCTCCACTCTCCAGCCACAGGGCTTTTTCTGAAGTGCAAATCTAACCTGTCATGTCACTCTCCCATTTAAATTCATGTCGTACATTCCAGCCGTATTGGGACTTCTTACAGTTCCCAAGTTACTGTGCCTCTGGAACTTGGCAGATGGTATTCGCTCTGCCTAGAATGTCATCTTTCCCCCACCACCCACTCCCGCCTCACACATGCCCACAACCCACTCCACCCTGCTGTCCGCTCCTGCTTGTTCTCTAAGTCTTCTCTTGGCTGTCATCTTTCCACTAAGCTTTCCCTGACCAAGGCTGCGATGGGGACCCCGATTAAGTAGCCACAGCACTTGTATTTCTCCCTATTTTATTCCACTAAATTATAATTACCTGTTTTTTGTTTTTTGTTTTTTAAATTGTGTTTCCCAGTGAACTATAAGCTGCGAGAGAACAAGGAATAAGTCTCTCTAGTTGTAATTCCAGTATCAGATTTCACTGGCACATAACAGGCACCCAATTAATCAGATTTGTTAAATAAACAAAGATTAGCTAGAAGCCTTCTGCAATCCCAAGTCTCACTTTAAATTTTTGCCTTTACAAAATTTTATTTTTTAGGATAGTATATGGCAGTTTTACAACTTATACAATCATTACACTGTAGAACTACAAGAGAAATTAGAGCTCATTTATTGTAACCACCTCTTCATTCTTGTGAGGAAACTAAGACCCAGAAAGGGAAGTGATTTGCCAGAGGTTATCCCAACTGGGTAGTCTTGAACTATTTCCAAAATATAAAAGTATTCTAAGGCAACCCAGTGCTCCTTGACCTTTTATGCTTTGTCACACACACAGAAAATGATAATATTTTGAAACTAAAATAAAAGGAGAAGGAAAAGATTGCTCAGAGCCAAAAGAGGTTGGCCCAGGGATTCTGGCAGCCCAGTCCCACCCTGCCATCTTAAGGGCTAGGGGGTCAACATCTTGGCACCCTCGGAACCCTTAAAAAGCAGACCAAGACATACTGTGCCAAGATGTACTGCTTGGGACTCTCCCCTGTAATCACTGCAGTCTTAACTCTCCCAGGATTATTTACCTATTAAACCAAATGACTTTCTAGTGGATGGGTTTTTGACAGCAATTAAAGTTGGGAATTTTAATTTGCTTGCAGGTTTTTTGTTTTAATATAAATAATATAAACTTAACTTACTGGAGGAAGGAAGGGAAAAGTGTGGTTTATGGCGTCTCAGTTTGTGAAGGGGAAGACAATAAGTCAGATGTGCAGAGCTACCCAGGAAGTGCTTGAACCCTGTGGGTCTCTATAGTCCAAGGAAATCCACAGCAAAGTGTTCTAGAACTGGGACAGGGTGGACACTGGACTCCTGGTCATCATCTCTTCTCCTGAGATCAGGAAGAGGCCTTTGGTGCTCTCTAGCCCTGTGCTTGGCAATAGTAGTTGCTTACATGTTTGTTGCATGAGTAAATGTTTGCAACTGGTGAAGATAAGGGAAGATGGGAAGAGGCCAAAGACCACAAACTTCCTTATTTCCTCTGTTCTCCCAGGACAAATACTTCTAGCTGACATTAAAAATGCTGTAGGAAAGTGAGACTAATTACAGTAAAACTCAAAAGCTGTTAACTGTACCTAATTTGCAAGCAAAACAACAATAATGCATACTATAAAATATATCTAAGTTTTAGGCTTACTTCAATTCCATGGCTAGATTGTTTTCATAGATTCTGCTTTGAATGTGTTGTTCACATAGTATGATCTTTGGATCATGTTGTTAAAAATTAGAGGAAATATTTTTATTTTGTTTTTTCCCATACAAAAATTTATACATACATTCTTATGTGACTCATATTGCTCTCCCCATACTGTGACAGCACATTCCTCCTTTCCACCCCTGATTCCCCACGTCCGTTCAACCAGCTCCTAGCCCTCTCTGCCTTCCCATCTCACCTCCGGACAGAAGCTACCCGTTTAGTCTCTTGTATCTACTTGAGCTAAGAGGCACACTCCTCATGAGTATCACTTTATGTCCCACTGTCCGGTCCAATCCCTGTCTGAAGAGTTGGCCTTGGAAATTGTTTTAGTTCTGGGCTGATTAGAGAGTCCAGGGGCCATGCTTTCCGAGGTTCCTCCAGTCTCAGTCAGACCATTAAGTCTGGTCTTCTTATTAGAATTT